AAGATGGCATGAAACTTGCACAAAGTTTTAGGCTAAACTATTAGTTCACCAAGAATTCCAAGTTGTCTCTCTATGATCATTTCTTTGGATTGAACTTTATTCTTCAAAGTAATCACTGAGTTGATCCAACTGAGGACTGTATCTGAATATGTTCTGATTTCTATTTTCTTCAAACTCCACCTTGATGCTAAATTAATTCCTTTTAATACAACATCCAATTCATCTACATTGATATGGTTGAAATCATTTTTCTTCCTCAACCATTTCATTTTCATTTCATTGCAACTTTTTCATCCACCAAAATGTCATTAATGTAAGAATTGGTGGCACTCCTTATCTTACTTCCTCCTCTTCCCAACACAGTTCCACATAGCTGCCATGATTTTAAGTAGGTAATATGTACATCTCTGATACACTGTTACACCCACAGTTTCTCTACTACATGCAATTGAAAGTCAGTTTGACTGTGTTGATCTCTTTGCATCCAACCTCCCTTTCATTCACTGCTACTACACTTTTTTTCCACTACAGGTGGCTGATAGCTTTGATGTTATCAGTATGATGTATCCACAAGGCTCTTGCCCACTTGTTTCCAACTATTTCTTCTATAGTGTGCCACTGCCGGAACAGTAGCCGCCTTCACCTTTTCCATGATTTCAATGTGGCCTGACTCACCACACCTTATGAGTGTAGTGAGTTAGATTATGCCTTGCTGAGGTGGTGCTTTATAATCTCTGACCATGTGAGGCACCTTATACCTAAAGCACTGGCCACTGAATTTATCAGATTGCACTGGGCCACTTTTGTGGTTGCTACAGCACTCAAATCACATGCCCTCTTAACAACCAAAACTCTAGCACTCACTAGCAAATTGCTCATTTCCATGTTTTCAATGCTGGATAGTTGCTGAAAGGTTGTTGATATGTTAATTGGAAACCCAGTATAACAACCCATGCGTCTCCCACCAACAATGGCCCACTCACCAGTGTGACATGCTTCAGGTGCATCGGCAAAGGTCACATAGCAAAAGATTGTTGGAAGTGCAGGACACGCTGCTATCGATGCGGGGAGGTTGGACACTGGGGATGAGACTGTTCGGGAAACGCTATAGGGGGACAAGACGTCAGCGCCAGCCTTTTCCCCAACCAAGTTGTAAATACGGCGCTCCCGGTGGCAAACATCCTTGTTGACGGAACTTGGTGTTCAGTGCTGATTGATACTGACTGTTCACGGATGATTGTGGATGCAGATTGGTGCCAGTCTTGGAAGAGAGTCATGGTGGACGTCATGACTATTGAAGGCATGTCCCGTCCATGTTGCGGTGTAGGAGTGGTAACTGTATCCACAGAGGAAGGCGGTTCTGCCAAGATCAACGCGTTGGTGGTGCGTGGTAAACCACTGAGATTTGACCTGCTATTGGGGATTGATGCCATAACAGCATTGGGAGGCATTGCTGTTAGGCCAACAGGATGAGTACAGATTGGCAATGGGCGAGCAGCCAAGTGAGCAGCCACCCATGTGGACGAACTGGACACAGATCAAATCATGTCCATCCACAGGAACAATGGTCACCCAGGAGTGTGGCGCACTACCTACTTCGCCAGGAGAGTCTGCCCATCAACGACAAAAGCAGCCGTTAGATCAGCTATACGGGCATGTGAAGAATGTCAGTCTATAGACCCCACACCAACTCACTGGCAAAAATGAAAGCTTGAGGTAAGTGGAAACTGGCAGAGACTGGGGATGGATATCACCTACTATGGTGCCCATCATTTCTTAACGCTGACTGACTGTGGCCTGTCGCATTTTTCAATCTGGAAGCAGTTGGCATGACAGGACTCAGCGACTGATTTACCAGCTGAAAGCAGTGTTTCTCGAGCAGGGCCCACCCCACAAGCTACTCACGGACAATGACCCAGCTTTCTGCAGCAGGGAATTCAGAGCCTTTGCGTGTGGGGAGTCAACTTGCAGTTCTGTTGTGTATATGCCCCAGCTGGGAATCGTATAGCAGAGTGATGCCACCGCACAGTAAAACGAATCGCGGCCAGGATGCACTGTTCCATCCTGGAAGCAGTCTACTGGTACAATGTCACACCAAAAGACAGTGCATCACCCCAGACTGTGCCCACCAACAGGATCCACCGATATGAATTGAGGGTGAAAGGGGTTGACACCCCGACGATGTCTTCAGACCACGGGCACAGCTCTTACTAGGTCGGAGATCGCGTGTGGGTCAAGGTGCCAATAACTCAGTACACAACCAGGTTCAACAGGGGTTGGGTTACGAAAATGATTGGCCCACAGTCATTTCTGGTGGACAGAATACCCCGCCATGTTAAGGATCTATGCCTACACCACGGTTTCAGCACGTCCGAGGAAGATTCTGATGACACATCTGAGAGTGGGGCAGAAAGTTTGCTGCTTGATGAGGAAAGTGCAGAGTGCATCAATCCACATGAAGAGGGAGTAGAAGCAGAGCCTCCCTCTGACAATCCCCTCAAAGGGGGAACAAGAGCAGAGCCCCCCACCCTGCCTTTGCAAAGAAGCACCCATCGAAAATGACCGTCACTGGGCTGCCACCTTTGTGATCATGAGATCAGGGAGGGGTGTGACGAAAGACATGACTTACCTCAAAGTTCAAAACGAGTTTGAACGTGTCTTGCCTGCAAAGTAATGAGGAAAAGAAATATGGCTGCTATCGAAGACGCAATTTATGCACGCCGATCTCGTCCAAAACGAGACGATATTCGCACACATACAAATTTCGGTTGTATCAGACTGGCATAAAAAGTGAGATGCCAGCAGCACGAGGAGAAGGTCGGGAGTCATTCGGCGGACTTCGTGCAATAGAGTTGGACGTACAAATTGACTGACAGACAAAGAGGAAGTTGATATAGGCGTGGCTGAATTGGTGTCTGTTTCACGACTGCCTGGTGTAATGACCGAGAAAGGGAGTCTCGCAATCCATTTCCTTGAGGTGACCGACGACGAAGGAAGAACAGCTGGTCTGCCGGCGAACAGTACACTGCAATTTCTGACCCCCCCTCTTGTCACTTTCTTCTCTTTGTTTACTACATAAATTGCATAAATCATGGAAGTATCTAGAGTATTAAAATCTGAAGTAAGATCAGTACAAGTTAAAATAAAGAGAAATAAAGCAGTAGAGCCAAATGAGATTGTAATGGAGATGCTGGGAGTCATAGATCAATAAGGTTACTAGAATGATAAATGAAATATATTACTGGTAAAATATTGGAAGATCTTAGTATAGCTACCAGATTTATTTAACCAGAATAGCAATCCTAAGCAAACTAGAATACTTACCAGGATTTATTATTAGCAAACAGAATCTTAACAATATAAGATATGCAGATAACACTGTATTAATAACAGACACAGAAAGAAAACTGGAAGAAATTATAGACAAAATAATAGAGGAAAGTAAGAAGAAATAATTAGCCATTAGTCCATGGTGTAAGCTTGGGTTGTCAAAATCAAGCATGTACTGAAGTGTAACTAAATAGTATAATAACAGGCAAGGAAAAGTGTAACCATAGACACTTAGAAATAGCAAAAGATGTTTTTCAAAAACTAAAGTATTAAGAGATAGAAAAATGTCCTTAGAAATAAAAAAAAAAGAGTACTGAACTGCTATATAATATCTGGACAGTTTCCTAACAGATAAAGTTTCGAAGTGACAGAAATGTGGTTTTACTTACAAATGTTGAAAATACCATGGACAGAACACATGAGTAATGAAGAACTTTTCAGAAGACTAGAAACTTCAAAGAAACTGATGCTGACAATCAGAAAGAGACAGCTGAAATTTCTGACATATAATGAGGAAAAAAACTTGGGTAATTTAACACTCACAGAACATATTGCAAGAGAAGCATGTTGAAAAGCAAGTAATCTACTTAACAAGTTTCTGTGAATGGATGGCAGAACAAGTACAAAAGGGTAAAAGTTACTTAGAATACACAAGACAGGAAGTTGTGAAGAGCTAATATTACATTACCTGACTACTGGCAACCACCAAGCATAACCCATACTTGTACTGGTCCCCAATTACAGCACAGTTGTTTGGGTTTCAAACATCATACCAGGAGGAGGGGACTACATTCTGGTGAAGGTGGCTTATGTTTGGTGCAATCAACCCTTTTGGTTTCTTTTCATTGCCAGGATATGTTGTCTAGTGGATTCAGTTTGTTGTGTTACTCATGAGAAACTTGAGCCATGATTTTTATTGCTCTGGTCTGTTTCTTGACTGTTTCTTCAATGTCGGGTGATCCAGTTGAAAAGAAGAAAATGATGCTGTTAAGAAATTATTAACAATTTAGAAATGAAATGTAAAATCATACAACAACTATGGGACTACTTTGTTCCAGTCATTCATTTCTTTCTGTTAAGTAATGCTGATGGTGCTAACATCCTAGCAGTAAATTTCTTTTATGGTAGATTTTTTCTAATGCACAATGTTTGAACAGGGCATGCCGGTTTTTACAGCAGGCCTCTCCAACTGACTAACTCATTTTGTTCAATTCCTACTCCAACTGATTCATACGCATAAAATAAGTAAAATTTAGTTGCTAAATTTTACTTAGTTTAATTTGAATTCAAACTCTTTTAATGGGTTTAAACTTTAAATTTTTAAACTGAACATTTTTTCCATCAGACATTCAAATAACCATTCTCCCATATTTTTCTATCTCTATTCCTTTACTCAGAGTTGTAAAGTCTCTCAATACCTCAAGTCACTAACCACTTTCCATGCACTAGTCTGACTCAACCAGGGCCATTCACCTGTTACTCTAGGATCATCCATATATTGAATTTACATGGCATATAAAAAAAAGCAGAAGACTGATCTTTGGATTGTTTAATACTTTTTTTTCATTAAAAAAAATAATACTTTATCATATAAATTTTAAAAAATTATTTTTTAAATTTATAATTTCTTTTTTTTCTGTATGTTAACAATGTAATTATTTCAATTCCAGCGTTCTTTCTGAAGATTCAACCCAAACACAAACATTTGAAGTTTTGGTTTCAACATTTCATCATTATTTTCAGAAAGCAGACCATTATAAAGTTGGGACAGCTTTGGTAAGTTTTAAGCCAAAAATAGAAAATATTATCAGTAGTGTTTCATTGTTGATCATAAAATAATTCCATCCTAAACGGTGTAAATTTATTTTTGGCACTCAATGAAGAATTAAGTAATTTAATTTTTTCCAATTACTATAAAAATGCTGTATTCATTAAAAATTTTGATTTTCTTTTACAGGTATTGTTACTTCAGAACAGAGATCTTCTTCCAAACCCAACCCAGAAGCTTGTTGCTGTATTTTTACTATATGAAATGTATAAAAATGAACCAGTTGTAAATAATCCATTTGCACCAGTCTTTGTTCATCTTTTGGTAGGAAACAATTTATATTAAATAAGTAAATTTTTCAAATTTATGAAAAACTCTTAAAAGTTGTGATTCTTAAAATTAAACAAAGTGAATTGAAAAATGAACATTTTTCAAATTTCATTGTTTTTAGCACATTTTCTTTTAATTTCTGTTTTGGAATAAAATGCATTTTTTTTACTTTTTTGTTTCAAAAGTCTATTTATTTTAAAAATCAAATTCTTAAAATAGAAAAAGATTTTGTGAAAGATTTTCCTTTGTGAAAAGTCTACAGAGTTAAATCATTTGATGGATTTCTAAGTGAAAGAACATTCACATATAGAAAATAACAAAATCAAGTACTTGACAAATATCATAGTTATTAATTATGAATTAACTAACATTTACTAATTGTTATAGAGTAGTTTCACAGTGGAGGCTTGTATTTCACTAAGTCAGTCCTAAAAAGGGTCGACGTACAAAACGTTAGGAACTTGATATAAGAGTTAATGACGAAGCAATCTAGTTGTGGTGGCTGATACTTTAATGTCTGACATCGACTGACTGACCAACTCACTGAGCCCACTGGCGACTGGTACTACTCCTTGTTATAGGTGGGAGAGTCTATTAACAATAGAATAGGTATGTTCCAGTATAACATCCCCCACTAAAACTTTACTCCGGAGGAGTAAAAAGTTTTCTTTCTTTATTTATTTTTCATTTTTTACAGAAAAAATGAAGAAAAAACAACAAAATTTTTTTTTTTTAGCAACATCGTAGCATATTTCCTACATTTTTTGATCCACTTTTAAATGATCAGTTGCCTTTCTTTTTTTTTTTTCTGGATTGGCGTAGCTCAGGTAAAATTGTTGCAGGCGTTGTTAGATCAAACGTATTGAAAATCACCTCCATTGGCGTTTTTTTTTTTTTTTCTTCGCGGGACCACTGTCAACCACGTCTGAAAAACGTCGTCTGATCTGGTTACTGCACGTGAATTTTTCCCCTTTCCCCAAGTACATCATATAGCCAATCTGCTTTTCTATTTTTTTTTTTTATATCTCCATAGTGTTACCAGAAGCAACCTTCCGCTTTGAGCTTCTTAAGGATGGAGTCACAGTTTCTGTAGGTTCTTCGTGTGGTTCTATTTGTTCCGCCTCTAGCTTCCCTTTTGTTGATCTTGTGCTTCTTAATGTTTTCTGTAGTGACTTCAGTTGACTTAAATCATTTAATAATACTGCATGTCCTTGGTTGCGTGTAACTTGTTCCCCAGTTTTTCTCGGTGTCAGCTTCATCTTTACTTTCTGAAGCTTTTTTTTCACGTATATCGTCGGTGTTACCCACTCAACTTTTTTAAATACACCGGTTTTCTCTAATCTGTCCAATTCTTTATCTGTTTAATTGAAGCAAACAGCACATTCCTTTTCTTTTTGAATACCGCCTGAGCGTTTAATTTTGGCTGTAACTTTGACTCGATCTTGGTACACGTTCCCAAACCTGGAGAAAAAATAGTAGGAAATGTTCCCTTAAGTTTCTTTACTAAATTTGGGGCTTCATAGTTTAAAAACTCTACCTTGTAACAGAAAAAAATTTATCGGTAGATCCCATAATTGGAATTCTGTTATCCAATCCGTACCAAGTAAGTTTGTGGTATTTTCTATGACAAATAGTTTAGCTTTTCGTGTTTTTTTATTTAACGTGATGTTTGTAACAAATTTTCTGGTTATTCCATTGTTCACCTCGTCAGATGTTAATTTTCTTATTTTATTGTCTTTATTTTTTGACCTGCAGTGTGAGCTTTTATGACCCACTCTTTTACAGTTGAAACATTTTTTATTCGTAAAATTGCAATATCTGTACCTTTGAAGTTCACTGCAAGCAAAATATGGCTTTGGGAGTTTTTGTTTATTTTTCTTTGGTATTTCACTTTTTGTTTGATAATCCGCAATTTTAGAATTCTTTTTGGTAGACTGACTTTCTTTTTTGTCGCGTATTTTCCTTACATGCGAAACGCCAGACTGTTCTATCTTTTACGAATCTTTCTTTACGCTAACATATCTTGTGCAGTCTTCTGCCAAACTTTATATCGAAATTCTTGGTTCGTTTTCCAATTTTGATAGTACCAATTTCCTCAACTCTGCGTCTCTTTCCGATACCAGCCCTTGAACAAACACTAAGCAATTAAAGTTGTCAGCACTTATCTCTGCAAGCTTGAATTCTTCATAATGCTTATTCACATTGGCTGCGTACATTATATAGTCTTGTTCGTCCTCTTTCATCAGATTGAAACATTTCCACCTCTTGTGAAACAAAGATGTCTTTTTACTAAATAATTCACTTAATATATTTACCACCTCAGTAAAAGTCAGCTCGCTAGTTTTTTTGGTAAAATGTAGTTTACCAATTTGTTATACTCAGCAGTTCCTAACTTGCTTAAAAGAAGTCTAACCTTCTTTCCTTCAGACCACGAATGACAGTCCTCGTTATACACGTCTGTTTATTTTTTATAATACTCCTCAAAAGTTATCTCTTCATCTGGACTGTACGTGAATATTTCAATCGAATTCCATATCGTATTCTCTGGGAAAGAATCATTTTGTAGATTTTTCTCTTTCCTCTTTCCTCTTCTCAGTTATTTCCAGAATTTTGTTTTGAAATTCCTTATGCATTTGTTCCATTTCTCGTTGAAACTGCATCTGTCTATTAAAAGTTTCCTCCTGTAGTTGCATCTGGAATGTTCTCTGTTGCTCTAATATTGTCATCTATTGTTCCGTTTGGAACTTAAAAAATTCCTGGAATATATTTTTGCATTCCTCCATCTTCGCAAAAAGTTTACACAATGCTTAAATATTGTAGAGGGGGTCCAAAACGAATTTGCAATTCGTGACCTATTTGAGCAAACTGTCTTATCAAGAAAAAAAAAATTCTTTTCTCAGTTAAGAATACGACTGATTTTTTTTTTCGTCACTAAGTTGACGTCTTGTCTTTCGAAAAACTTTGCCAATTTTTTTTTCTCTTGTCTTTTGAAAAACTTTGCCAAGGTTTTTTTTTTTTAAATGTGAATACGAGATGTTGTCGCCGAAAATTTGATGAGCAAGTTTTTTTTTTTCTTCTTTTTCCTCCATATGAGTACGAATTTTGTCACCAAATAATGTTGCGAGCGAATATTTATTTTTTTTTTTTTCCTTTCACCGTATGAATCCGAATCCTTCGTATGCCAAGTTTGTTATGGCGGGTGAATTTCTTTTTTTTTCTTTCATCGTATGAGTACGAATCCTTGAGGTCAAGTGTTGTATGGTGAACGAAAAGTTTTTGTTTTTTTTTTTCCTCCGTATGAGTACGAATCCCTCATCACCAAAGTTGTTATAGAGTAGTTTCACAGTGGAGGTTTGTATTTCACTAAGTCGGTCCTAAAAAGGTTCGACGTACAAAACGTTAGGAACTTGATATAATAGTTAATGACGCAGCAATCTAGTTGTGGTGGCTGATACTTTAATGTCTGACATCGACTGACTGACCAACTCACTGAGCCCACTGGCGACTGCTACTACTCCTACTTATTATAGGTGGGAGAGTCTATTAACAATAGAATAGGTATGTTTCAGTATAACACTAATTGAGTTGCATTAGTTAAAATAATTAAAAAGATTAACCATTCAATTATGAAAACAATCTTTTTTCAGTACAAGAATTCATATCTTATACTTTACAGAGTAGAAACTATACATAAACAATCTATACAATGCTTAAACTTCATTTTATAAAACATAGTTAAGTAAATCTTAATTTTTATGGTTCTTATAAGTGACAATTTTTAAAAATATTTTCATTAAAATGTACAATGTATTATGAATCACCTGTTTTAATGTCTAATTTCTTGGTGACTTAGAATTTTATTTGCAATTCACAATAAACATTTAGGAACAGTAATACCTACTCATTCTTTTGTTCAAAACATTTATGAAAAATATTTTGAGCAAAAGAAAGCTCTTAGAAAATTTAAAATTTGACAAATTATTATTAAACATAAAATATTTATTATGAGTGAAAATGGTCCCTGAAATTTGTACCATATTTTACATTATGTTTTACTTAACCTTGTCTTGTAAGTCAAAACTGGATTATTTGCTTTACTAATTCTCACACCTTAATTTTACTGCATGGTGATGATTTAACGTGCACCATTACTTTCTTTTCAGTTAGATGTTCAAACTCGGCTAATCTGTAACAGGGTAGTGGCCCTGACTGAGTCATATTAATGCATATTGATTGGTGATTTGAAGTATTGAGAGACTTGGTAATCCTGAGTGAAGGAGTGGAGACATTAGGTGGAGAAAAATGTGGGAAACCTGATGAAAAATGTACAGTTTAAAAATATTAATTTGAACTTATAAAATACTTGTGAAGAAGGTATTTGGAAGATTTGAACTTAAAATAAACCAAGTAAGATTCAGTAAAATCCAGTATAACTGAAACTCCTAGCCCAGCCCCACAGCCATGAGGAAGTCATGATGATATGATTAATGTGTTTGCCAAAATTCTTCAAAATCCAAATGGAATTGGGAAATGTTATTTTAAAATTCTACCTATCAATTCCTTTCACAAGAGATATTTAAAAACTGACTAGGTAACATCCCTATGTTCTTTTTGAGGGGTCCCCTCCTTGCTAGATTTATAATGTGGTTATCTTGTCCCTACATAGCGCCTAAATATATTATAATAAAGAAAGTTTGGGTTAAAATTATGTGAGATTACTTTTTGTATTGTGAAGTATTTGATAATAGTAGAATACTCCTGTGATACTAGTAAGATAAATATATTAATGTTAAGTAAGGAATAAGTGAGAGGAAGGTAAAGTAGAAGCTAAAGAAAAGGAAGGTAAAGAAAGCTAAACAGAGTAGGTGACAAATTTTATGTTGCTGCAAATAAATGAAAAAAATTACAGTTAACTTTGGAGAAATGTTTTTTAACAGTCACAGAAAACATTTTTATTGAGTATAAATTTAAATTAATTGATAACAAAGTAACAGTGATTTGAAACTAAAAAAAAAAGGTAAGAATGCAATTTTAAATATATGGAGCCACTATACTCCAGTATAAATATGAAAATCATGTAATGACTAACACCTATGTATAAAAATATTGTCCATTCTCTCACAAAATGTATTTTCATAAAGTACAAATTATATAATATTTTACAAAAATTATTTAGTACTGAAGTTATACCTTTTTGATGTTTGGGATTTGGTGAAAAGTTAATATTTACAACATCCTTTTTTACAATATTTGTAAGTAAGTATTGACACAAAAAGTTATCTTCCAGTTTAGAAAAACTGATTGCACTAAAATTTGCAATATACTTCACTCATAAAAATTTAGCTATTCATGAGGAAGAAGGATTAAGAAACCAATTTTTTTTTTAGAACTAATAAGCTACATTAATTATGAGAAGCAAATTTAAATTCCCCTTTCAAATTCAGTATTTCATTTTAAGCTTCAAATTTAAACAATTAGGAAATTTTAAATATTCTATGGATTACTATGAATTGAAAAATGTACATCCTAAATAAAATAATTAGATAAGTGTAAATTCTGTTGTATGATTGCATGCCTACAATACTTTTAATTCAAACAAATCACTAACATCCAACAGAAAGAATTTTAACAAACACTTGTCCCTTAATGGTTGGTGGCAATGCAGCAATTAACATATCAATCAATGAAGCAAGTATATTTTATTGAGTTTTATAAACTATCATAAAAATAGATTAAAAGTGTATGTCTTTAAAGCTTTTGACATTATAGAAATGAGGAACTATAAAAATAGAATTTTAATTATATTTGCAATCCTAGTATGATAGAAAATGGCACACAAGAAAATATTTTCTTTATTTGCATAAAATCCTGTTTTAATTTATTCTGTTTAGTCTTAAAATATTTAGAATTAATCTGTTTATTTTTTCCAATCCATGAAAAGTAAATAGCATTATGTTATAAAGCTTTTAAAATCAATCATGAAAAAGTTCAATTTTTAACAAAGAGTGTACATTGTAAGCAATCTCAAAACAAGAGAGTTGTCAAATCAATATCTTTTTGTACCCATTCATTTCCACAGTCACTGGACAATTTTTTTTTTTATTTCCTCTTGTGAATAAAATAATAAGAAAAAAATGAGAATTTATCAGATATGGTTTTTAAATATAGAAGAATAAAACATTAACTGTTCTGGATTTTTCAGTATTTTGAAATATAGAAAAATGAATGAAGAAACAAAAGAGTAATGCACATTTTCTACTATAAAGTTTCCTGATTTTAATGTTATTTTTTTTATAGCTAAAAGTTGTCTGAATGATTAAAAGATTAATATATTAAATGTATTTTTTCATTTTTTACTGAAAAAGTATTTTTTTAAATCTCAAAACCCTGGTTCTAAATTTTGTAAAATATTGTATAATCTGTCCTCTTTAAAGTAGCTTTTCATAGTGGTATATAATTTTTTATAGAGTATAAAGTGGTTTTGAAGTGTTTTTACTGCTTCCCCATTCTCATAATGTTGCTTTTCATTTTTAGATTTCTTTAATAAATTATTAATGAAATATTTTCTAGTAGACAATTTGCAGTATTTTTAAACCATTTATTTGTCCAATCATTTTAATTATATATGTGTAATGTGTATATAAATGTTTATGTTGTTGATATTTTTACTTGAACAGTTTTGATGTTTATTTTTTTTAAGAAAGCACCACCAGAAAATCAAGAAACTATTCAGCAAGATCTGCACTGGGCAATTCCCCCAATATCATCATCTGAGCGCTATTTTTTATGCCAACTCTTTACTAATCCTGTTAAAGAGGTTAAGTATTGTTCTTGTTTTTAACAAAATTGAAATAAAAGTTTTTTTATGTTTAAATTTTCTTTATTGAACTTCATGTATTGAAACCATATCGACATAAATGAATCCGTATTTACATTTTTTGATTGATAAAATGGTCACAATTAAATGACAAAAAGAATTTGGGTACATAATTTTTTTCTTCAATAAAACAATTATTGCACTTATTAAGAATGTTATTTTTAAAAACTTACTTTAATTGACTAGTGATCATTTTTTTTTATTTTGACAGATGTTCAAAAAAACCCCTTTACAAGTTATTCAAATGGATGTCAGTAATACACAGGTTAATAAATTTTCACATGATTCAGCATCATAACTTCATTGGTTTTTTTTATATGCTTGTAAGATATTTTGTGTGTGCCTATTTTATAACTAATCAGTTTCTGATTAATAATCAATTAAAATGTGACAGTACAAACGTATCTTGAGTATTATATTTTTGGAGCATGAGTGAAATCTTATATATATAATTTTATGATATATGAAAAATGTTAAGTGAGAGAGTTTGGAACATTATATAATTATTAAAAATAAGCATTTGAAAGGTTATTATGAAATAACTCCAAACAATTATCTTTAAATTTATGCAATACAATTGACTGGTGTAACATTCTACTTTGTAATATATACATATAACATAGAAGCTAATTTTACTCTACTCAGGAAACATTGTATTTCTGTAGCATTGTTGTTGAATCTAGGAACCTGATATATGGTCTCCATTGTTTTGTGGAAGGGTTAGGTGGTTGTTATTATTACCTTTGTCTATTTATTTTTGTCCATTGGTCACTTGTCATCTAATCATTGTTAGTAGTAAAAGAATTGTTGGATAACCAAAACGAATATGAGAATAGCAGTATTGTTAACAGTACAAACAATTCTGATTTAGCTGAAAGTTACTTAACAACAGTGATGTGTCAAAAAAATAAATAGTTTATACAGAGAAAAAATTCCCAATGCTAATGTAGTTTTAAAATTTTAGAATCAGATGTTGAAAATTGCTTATGTTGTAACAAAGATTCAGTCTTGTATTACCAATGCATAATATATAAAATCAACTATATTGTACTAATATATAGATTTACACTATTTACATCATTTGGACTGTCATTCTCATCTTTATTACCATATTCACAATGTTTTGACTGTTGTATGCTCTGGCTTTCTTCAGGAGCTTGTTCTGGAAGAAAGGTATTATGAATTTGAATGAAAGATGGCTGAAGATAGTGGAACAAAAATGCTAAATATGTTATTTAATAAAATTAATGTCACAAATAAAATATTTGTTTAATTTTTACTTAGTAAACATTTTTGGTCACTCACTCTAATTTTAGTATTATCATTAAAAGCAATATCTTCAGTTAGAATCAGTTTGTTCAAATTAAAGCAAGTCTTATAATCCTCAGAAGATTTTGTGCTTAACATTAATTAAGTTCATACTGATTGTTTTGCCTTTATCTGTGATAAATACATTTAAATATTACAAATCACTCTCATCTTTTTGATTTGTTCTATCATATTTTGATTACTAATAAGTATCTTCCTTAGAATCATTTTTGCCTCTCTGCTAATTTCAAAATATATCCATAATTTTATAAACTGCTAATACTTTGATTTTTTCATAATCAAGAATATAATTTAAATTCCTCTTTGATATTTTTAGAATATTGACATGAAACCACTTGAATTAGCATTAATGGAAAAACAGTCTGAATTTCCAGCTATCAGCAAGTCTTCAATGCCTTCTATATTTTCTGATCGGGATAATAAGCCAACAAGGCAAGTGTATTTTTTCTTGCATTTAGCCATACATACATGTCTTATTAGTAAAATTCCCATTAATTTAAAGTACTAAATTCATGTAACTGATAGCTATTAAAATTACATTTCAATTAAAAAAACAAAAGCAAGGACTCAATTTTTTTTTTTAATCCAATAAATAATGCTACCACTTTATGATTTTTAAGAAGAAAAGTAACTGAAAAAAGATGTTTGTAGGTAATCAGTATTTGATTAACATTTAAAAGTCAAGAGTAATTTTATTTTTGATGTTCATTCACATCACAAATTTGTCATCTATAAAATGAATATTGAACCTGAGTGTACCATATTTTAAATTAATGCATTAAATAATATCTACTTTAGTTCATTTATTGTTTGATAAAACTAGTACTAACATGGAACTCATGTGCCCATCATCTGTAAAATTTATCATCAAAACATTTTTGGTGCAATAATCTATAATAGACTTTTTAAATATCCTTTTCATTAGAATGGTTTGATTCTATTCATTTTGTTTTTTGTTTACTGAACATATCAAATTGGTAAAATGAAAATTACAAATATGAATTAGGATTCTATATGTAATATATCATCATTTATATATCATTGTGTTTGTTTGAATAAAAATACACTAAGAAATCACTCATAAAATAGCAAAGACCTGTATATTATTAATACACCACCTCAAAAGCATACAAATTCTCAATGAGCTGAAGCATGTACTTATTTTTTTTCTTTTTCTTGTTTAATCCAATAATGCTCCCACTTTATGATTTTTAAGAAGAAAAGGTAACTGAAAAAAATGAGCTGAGAAAGGCTCTATACAAATAGATTAAAATTAGTTGAATTTGACAGAAAAGAAGCTGCTATTTATATAAAAAGGAATTATCTTTTACTTAACTATAAAGTGTACAGTTTTCTGAAGTTACTTCATGGCATTTTCATCAGTTAATTGCAAGGAAGAGTGCTTAAATGTTATTGACCCAATGAAGAAGCCTTTCAAAAGTGTTTAATCATTTGGTCAGATTTTGGGACATTGGTTTGGCCAAGAATTTCCCCACACCCTCTATATTTACCACTTGTAGTCATGTTGACAACCAAGTCACATGGTTTTCAAATTATTTAGCAAAAACTGCATTACTCATAACATTCCATGTATAAAATGCTGAAAAATTTAAAATGAGAATTTTTGTCTCAAAATTGATTTTTTATTAATATTTTTGTTTGCACATAACAGTGTGCATAACATTTCCTGCACTCTTCCAAAATACATTGTCCCTACAATCACAATTTAACTCACTACTTATGGATTTTTTATGCTTACAGTAATGGTAATATTTTCTACACTTACATTTCCCCATAACATTTATTAGCGATTCTATGACAAGGAAAAACTACAAGGCCCATGATAAACATTCAAGAAGATTAGGATATTCTGCATCTAGCCTGATAACTTTGGGGGGGGGGGATATAAGAATTTAAGAAATAGTGAATAATGACAGATGAACAAATTAAAAAATTCTGTAGTGTTTTTCATGAAGCTTTAGAAAATTAAAGGTAGTGATACTTTTTTATGAATAAATAATTGGATAAACTACTATTTAAAACTAAAAAAATTTTCTGCATTCCATTGTATTGTTCCCTAATTTCTAAAGTATCCAGTTGAATTTCAATATGAATTAAATATGTTGTATCTACTTTGTCACTAGTTATTCTTATTGTATGAATATGATATGCTCATGAATTAAGAGATAAAAATATTTTTTAATGTTCTATTCAGATTCTTTTTTAAAATAACAATAGATTATGTTCTGTTTAATGATTACACACAGTTTTTGTTTACTTGTCACGAATAATTTTTAAATCATAAACTTCTTAAACTTTTCTTTTATTTGTAATATTTAATTGAATATAAAAATGAATTTAGGAGAAACACAGTGTTTGGTATAATATTTGATATAAAAATAAAACAAGTGTAATGTCCATAATATTATTTTTTCCATTAACATACTGAAATGAGGAGAATATTTGCAAAATTATATTGATACAAAAATATTTTTAAAAAATAATATTATCAAAATATTTGAGTTAAGAACAGAAATTGGTTGTTAATAAATTTAAATTTCTGTTTTGGCATTTACTGATGAATAAGAAACATTTTTTCTAAAATGTATCCTTATTTTACAGTAGTACTATATATGGTAAATGGAACCTTGCTTCACAATTAGGATATCAGATTAATTACAGTGAACAATGGTCCAAAATGCCATTTTATTTGTACATCTTATAGACCAATAAATATATTATTTTAAAATCTAACTGAATATATTTTTTAGCTTCGAGCAATTTGGAAAACCTGGCCTTGTAAATCAAGATGTTCAAAGACAAGCAATTGAAGCACTTTTAACTGGACCTAATCCTCCTGTTGAGAACTGCATGAGACCAGAATTCATCAGATTGGCTCCACCACTTCATATTGCTGAAGATGAGGTAAAATGCTTAGCAAGTAAATAGGAACAATCTCTTATTTTATAATTTTAATTTAATTTTTAGTATTATATCAAACAAACCAGTTGTTTATATTTTATTAGTTATCAAATATAGTCATTGCTCTAAATGAACATTTAGTAATTTTCTCATTTCTATCTTTAGCATAACAAAAAGGAATATAGATATTTGTATTGTTTTTTTTATGGTTAAGCTATAAAATCAATTACTACACTAAAATTGATTTAAAACCCACCTTGTCAACAGATATTTTAACACATGAAGACATATTTGTTGTTTTAATTGTACAAGACATAATCTTGTCTGCCTATTTTACTAAAATTTCCAAGATAAAACAAATATTGACCTTAGTATTCTAATAGGAAATGATGACATATATGAAATTGATATTTTGTTAAGTCTTTACTATTGTAATGACAAAAGTACACAGATGTATGCTTTAAGAAAGCTTTATTTAACTGAGAATACAAGGTTTGCATATAGTGTCCATTTATAGTCCCAGTAAACAGAAATATCTCTCTCAAAGAGGAGCGTAACAAAACAAGGGGAAACCATTCTTGATTGTTCATAACAACTATTGTTAAGTTTTCATATGTGAGTCTTTGAAAGTCATGTAAAATTATTATTTCACAGTCAGTATCATAATGACATTACTATATGATATTGCTAGTGCAAGGGAGAGAACTAGTAAGGCAAAGAGCTTCATGCTTTACAAACAAAATATGTACATATACTTGGTATATTATATGGTAAATATGTAAGACAATTTGGAAAACTGTTATACTTTGGCATATTTTGCTGATTATCCAGCATCATCAGAAAAAAAATATTTTGCAAGAACAAAATGTACATTAGCTAGACTAAACGTGATTCACTGCGTCTGAATGCTTTTTACTTTAACTATACTGTTCTAGAAATTAGTTTAATTAATTTCAACTGGGTTTTTTCCTTTTTTTTCTAATGGGTTACATATCCTACTTTTTTTTCAATATAAATTTAGTAAGAAAAGGCAATATATAGAGATATATTGGAATAGCCCAGTTATATAATGTTAAAGGATTTTTAGATCATGGCATTTTCAATGCATTGTCTTCTAAGTTAAAATTGTGATCAAAGGCATCAATGACACACAAGTATTCAGTGTGTTGTTTAATTTCCTTTTATATGTACCTTTTATATTTTTTATATTCTTTTTTTAAATTTCTGAGTGTTTCACCAATGTATTTGCTTTCTCTTTGTATTAATTCTTACATAGACATTTAATTTTAAGCCCAATATAGTTCAAATTACCAAAATATCAAGAAAAATTCAGGCATTGTTTCTTTTTCATATATGAATTCAATAGTACATTTTGTTTATTTATAAGGTTTTATAATTTATTTTATTATTAAGACATCAACTCTATATAAAAAATATTCAGTATTTTTGGGTAAGATATTTTGAAATGGCTTAGATTCCCAAATTCCAAAAAGTGGTAGTTTAATACACCACTGAGGGGAGAACTCATAGGCTGAATTTTTGTTTGAAAAAGAAAGTATAAATGATAACACACAAACTAGGCACATTATGTTACCCACAAGCTCCTTAACTAATGAACTTGAAAAAAAATTAACCAATCTCAATACAAAAATTATCATAAACATTTCAAAACAATTAAAAATTTTATTAATGTAAAACTAGTAATTTTACATCAGGGGAAAGAGTTTATCAAATATAGTTTAAACAATTCCCTGCACAATGCATCAGTGAAATAGCCAGTGAGTTATGGAAAAGAATATATGTGCATAAAAAGGACTTAAAATTAAACAACAAACTCAATGCACTTGTGCATAATCAAAGCATTTGTGGTCACAATTTCTCATTGGGGAAAATACTGTGACAAATAGTGAATATAATTTACTCAGATGAAGATGCACTAAAAGTCCCATGATCTATGAATTCTCTACAATTAATATACCAAGCTATTGTTCAATATGTCCTCTTTTACTAGTATTAGGACAATGTGAAATAAATAAGCCATTAAAAAATGAGTTAAAATCTAATTTCTGTAATGATACAGATAAAGTAAAAAAAAAATAAAGCATTCAGCTGCTTAGCATGAAGCATATTTAGTCTCACTGATGTAGATTTTGTTCTTAAGGAATAAAATCCTTTTTTTTTTTTTTTCTTTTTTGATTGTGGTCATTTTGTCTGATTTTTGCATGTCCACATGTTGAGAGCGCCTCTCTTAACTGAGGAGAAAAACTGGTGTTATATAGCTCTCCCAGACCCAGACTCACACTGACTATTGGCTAATACCTGCACAATATTGTTCAGATGCAAATAGTCAGCGCCACCTACTCTAAGTAGAAGGTCTTCTCTCAATAGCCCATTGTGGAAGAGGACACAACTCCTGGTGATTACAGCACCACATACAACCAACTCTGAGTTTTTTTATTGGGCTGACCTGATTTTCTGTTACACTCCCCTTGATTTCCTGATCACAGCACCAACATGCAGAGGACAGGGGTTTCCTTCTGGTGCTCCTTTGCAGAGGAGGTGCATCAAAAATCCAGGAATATATTTCCAATTCCCCATCACTCATGGATGAATCATTGGTGTCGCTTGCACCAGAGCATTGGTCCCATGCAGGTCGGAGGTCTTTAACATGACATGGCATGCCATCAATCAGGACAATGATCCCAGTGACTTTCCCAGTTGTAAATTTGGAGGTACAACAGTTCCTGAGTGGTCTCACTCACACCACGTCTCCCACTTTATATGTTTCGTGCACTGTCCATGGTGTTAGTGCAAGTACAGCGTCAATGCCCTCGAGCCCAACCTCATAAGTATGAATTGCGTTAGCTGATGCAGTTGGGCTTGACATGTCATCTTTCGGCATTGAATTATACAGCTTCTTGTATGAGGCAATGCTTCCACATTGCAATCCATTTTATGGTCCTATGACACCTTTCTTTTATCCCGGACGGCATATGCGCATACTGAAAGTGTAGCTGGAAACCCCATTCCCCCATGAAAACCTTGAATAACCTGTTGGTGAACTCAGTATTGTTGTCAGTAAGGATTTTGTATGGCAGACCTATCTCACAAAATCTTGTCATGCTAGGGGTCGCTAAACAGAGAACCATGTTGGTCCACAGTCAATCAAGGTTAGGTAATGACTACTGCCATAATGTGTAATATCCATCCCCAGCCTGGACTATGTATTGCAAACTCCTAGTCTTCCATTTGACCAGCACACCAATGCCAGATCTATAGACTGGCATTCAGGACATTTCTGAATCATCAACTTGATATTTTTGCTAGGTACAGAGGGATCAACTCACCTGACAAAGTAAGTAGTATGCTTAACACTAGGGTGACCACTATGCTGATGTATTTTCATTATTTCACATGGTCTCAACTCTCCTATGACTGTACCACATGCTGAGAGGAGAGGTTCGGTGTCCTTCTTCAACAAATCTAACCACCTCTGTGGAACTCTGGTAAGTTCATCAGCATTATTTTGGTACGATTTTGCCAGCCATACATCCAAGTTGTGGTCATACTCCACAATTAGTGCCCAAAGAGTCCCCAGTCATCTCTGCACAAGCATTTCACACACTACCTTCTTTTTTAGGTTTGTCTTTCCGATTAAGTTGGTACGTATATGCAGAATCAGTGACCAGATGCAACACTTTCACATTCCACTGCAGGGCCAAGTTTATACCCTTTAACGTTGCAACAAACTCAGCTAAGTTAATATGTTGAACATTACAATTGCAACAAAGCCAGCATACATCCTCCACAATGTCTCCATTCACCTCCAGTGTCACCTCTGTTGCCAGAGAACTTGGAGCCATCCACACTCGCATTTCCTGGCCACTCAAACACCTATGGGCTATTTTTTGCCTAATGGCTCGGGAATGCCCACATTAAAAAAGGCCTTGTGCCGCATGACACCCTCGTGGGTGGGTGACTGAATATCTCAAACACCAGTCTCCTTTTTTAGGGTCTTGTGGATCATGCACTCCAGTTTGGCGTCAGAGGTTTCGTTGTCCCAACGTTTGATTACTGTAGTGCCCTGTTGCTTTAAGAATGCTTCAGCCCTAAGCCAACCACATGTGACTGACAAGTTTTTCCGAAGAGAGAGAACATATTATGACGCATGATAACAGTTGGAATATCTGGGAACTTATTCCCTTGTTTCCATCAAAGCACGCCATGCCCCACCAGACTTGCAAACCAAGAACTTTTGCACCATCGTCAAGTCTCATGAGGTCTTTGCAGATTAGTCCAAAGTTAGATATGTGCTTTCTGATGCATGCCACGGAAACTGCACTTTCGTCGACAAAGATGTCATCTATGTATGTCAAAGTGGCATCTTGGATTACTTCACCCTGCGACAGTACTGTCTTGATAATTACCTTCATTATAAGAGGCGCCACATTGACACCAAAGTCTAATCATGTAAGGCAGTATCTCTGACCTTTCAGTAAGATAGCCTAGAAGGCCACACTTACTGATGTACATGGACCTACAGGTATGCTCTCCGAAGGGCCAACAGTGATACATTGTTGCCATTCCCTTAGCTTATTTGCACAGACATCCACACTTGCCATTAATGCATCTATGTACTCGTTTAATTCTCTGTAATCCATTACAGGGCATACCTTTTCTTTGCTCTTTTGGATAACGGACATCACTGGAACTAGATCCTTGAGAGGTCTGTAATGATTTGGTTGGTCAACTTGACACCCCCAAAGCAAGTGGAGGTGGACAGGCGCGGAAACTGTGATTGGTAGCTGGCGTGTTGGTGTCTTGCCTGGGTGAGTTACCAAGCTCTATGTAAAGGGCTGGAATGAGAAGGAGGGCAGTTCGTCTCAGAAGTGGAGACTGTGCCTGTCGCTATGACAGTAGGAGAGAGAAAAAAAATTTTTTTTTTTTTCTTTTGTGACACATTTCAACACAAGGTCCAAGCTACTCCCCAGGATATGGTATGA